AGATCTTCCTTTGGCCAACAGTCCCCGACAGTTTTGTCTTAAAAGTGGAACTGGGGTTGAAATATAGGTATAATACAGGAATCAGTAGCCTTGATTGATAATGAACAACCGAAGGGAAAGGCTCATAGCAGGCCGGCGTTAGATGAACCAATGAGAATAATTCCCAATCAGGCGAGGTAGCTCCGGAGAACAGCAGGTGGCTTTCGGAACTGTAAAATGTGCCTATTTTGACCTACCTCAAGGCACGCTCCTATTTAGTGAATATAAAATGCAAAACAGATATTAAGCTAGTGTCGCCCGCCCCCTCTGCCCAGTAGCTTGTGCGCCAGGAAGGCCAGGTATACCAAGATTTCTGGCACTTCAATACCAGCTGTAATGAATACTGAAGTAGGGATTCTTACCTCTTTAATGTATTTTCTCTTAAACTCACTTTCCATTTAAAAGAAAAAATTTGGTAAGAGCCTCCTAAGGAGTTTGTTATGGAAGTTCCGATTTCTCAAGAGTGTTTTTTAAAAAATAAACTTCTATTTCATTACTGAAAAAGAAAATTCAAAACTGAAACTCGATTAAGAAAATACTAAGTGCAGACATCATCTCTGGCACACAGGGTACTTTCCAGCTCTGGCTGATTCCCAGGTGTAATGATAAAAGTTGCCCCTTGCTTCTGGTTTAGGTCCCTATCCTCAGCACCAACTCCTCCTGACCTTTTGAGTACTTTTTTTTTCCTCAGACACTGAGCAAGCCTCCTAAACTGTAATTCCTACAGTTTACCTGAAGAGTCATAGATAAAATGAGTTCTCTGTAAGGCTGCTTGGAGGGTGAACTAATTCAACAGCCCCCTCTATGCTGATATTTCCTCAAAACTAGGTCTCTAGCTGGATCCTTCTCTGGTGATGAGTCTTCTCTAATCGCATATATGACATTTTTCACATTGAGACACATGGTACCTCAAAACCCAGCATGTTTAAAACAGAACACCTGGGGCTTCCCTGGTGACGCAGTGGTTAAGAATCCGCCTTTCTGTGCAGGGGACACAGGTTCAAGCCCTGGTCTGGGAAGATCCCACATGCCGCGGAGCAGCTAAGCCCGTGCACCACAACTGCTGAAGCCCGCGCGCCTAGACACCGAACTCCGCAACAAGAGAAGCCACCGCAATGAGAAGCCCGCACACCACAACGAAGAGTAGCCCCCGCTCACCGCAACTAGAGAAAGCCCGCGTGCAGCAACAAAGACCCAACTCAGCCAAAAAATCAATAAAATAAAACAGAATACCTCATTCCATCTCTTTTCTCCCAAGCCAGTTCCTGTCCCTCATACCACACTTTCCAAGTCCTCAGAGCTAAAACCTCGCAGCAGCCTTCAGTTCCCCAAAACTTCCTATTCTGTCCCCATGTAGTCTTTTTTGTAACACAAGCTTTTTAAAAATTATTATTTATTATTATATTTTTGGCTGCACAGTAGCATCTCTTCTTGTTGATCCACATTCTTGGAATCATTTTCTTGAGCAAGATCTCATTGGGTTGCTTCTCTGCCCAGACTTCTTTGAGCTCCTGAATCAAAATCAGCCTTGAGCTTAGCTGACCTTGTACCTATCTTTTCAGCCTTGTCTTCCACTTCATCCTCCTATTTCCATTGCAGGGCTACATTCCACAGCACAGCTTTGAGAAGCACTACCTGATATCCTCCTCAGGCTCTCCCCTTCCCCCGCACTCCTGTTCCTCCTGTAAGGACACTCATTCCCATCTCGTCATCTAAGAAGCTCAGGTCCACCAATCTGCCTCTTTTCCCCTATATGCCTAGTGCATACAACTTGAATCTTTTATTAGCCTGAACCAAATGAAATGACCATTTCTGTAGGTCAAAAGCGTCAAATATTGGTAATCATATGGTTTACCTTAAAGAGTTGTGTGTAGGGGCTTCACTAAAGACTGACAGGGCAGAGCCTGAATACTTTCTATCTCTGTATTCTCTACCACCCCTGGCATGGGGCTTGGCTCATAAAAGTTCAGTAAATGACTGTCAAGTTGAACTAAAGACTGTAGAAAGACAGGGAACAATTGAGAAATGCTTTCATAGCTGCCTTTCCTTCCCACACAGACACAACCCGCTGTGAAGCACCCCTGGGTGTTCGTTCCCTGCCACGCAATGACGAGATATTTAAAATCACATACACTTCAGGGTGTGAAAATTATTTCACACATTCAAACAAATTCTGATCCTCTGTTGAGGTTGCATTTAAGCTGGGCCCTAAAAGAGGCATAGGATTTTGGATGGCATATACACATTAATACCCTAAAGGATACTTCCTGGAAGGAGTCGACCTCCTTTTCAATACAACACAAACTGAAAGCTAGAATTAGAACATCAGGCTCCTTGAGGGCAGTGGCCACATCTGTTTTGCTCCCCGGTGTACCTCAGTGCCAAACAGTACCTAGCATGAAGGAGGTGCTCCGATCATTCACTGAATATGCATTCTCACTGTTTGGGTTTTCTACTATGTTGAACTGTTTTTATTTGAAGAGACTTGTGAATAAGTGAAAAATCCAAATCTCAAAGACCTAAAAGGCCAGAGATTTTATATTAGAATTTGAGGTCTTTCCACAAGGCCAATGGATTCCTCCGGGAAATCTTTCAGAAAGACGAACCCCTTGCTGATTCCATTGCTAAGGGAAATCCCCAGGAAGCAGACTTCACGAATATGTGCCTTGGGTACCAAGCAGCAGCTAATCTACTCACCCAGGTGGACTTCCCCCTGGGTTGGGGAGCTTTCACAGAAGTCTGGGGACCAGTGCTCCTGCAGCTTTACCACAAGCCTATGGGGGCAGACTTGCTGTGTCTGTATGGAAAATTTGACCTTCCTCTCTGTTGGGCCACCAAGTTAGACTTTCTGAAATGACTCTCTGGTTTTTTGAAAACTTTTAGAGATGACTTGACATCTCGTGAGTCTTGGAAAATCTCCTGGGGGCCTCCATTTGACAAGGCCCACATTCTCCCCTGGGGGTGGAGGTAGGTGGAAGGTAGGGGTTACCCACAAGGCAAAGGTAAAAACTGGCAGCGTAGATTCCCAGTGACTGCAGACATGCTGAATCACATGGTGTTTAAAGGCAAGATAAGAGTTTAGCCCTTAGCTTAGGACGCTCTGCTGGTGGTTTCAGTGAGCCAGGGAATATAAAACTGAAGCTTATCTGTGTTTGCATGTGATATTAGCAGGTGTTGAAACACTGGTAATAGAGTATCTTAGGAGACTTAGGATTCCCTGATGTCAAGGGGCCCCAGAGGTCAACTGTGGCCACAACAGAGCTAGGGATGTGGCAGTTCTGTGTGGACAGTAGAAGGGAGGTAGCTCCCTGGTCAGACTTTGAGCCATCAGGTGCCTCCTCAGGGGACTGAGGGCAAGAACCTAGTTCCATTCGTATTTCTCCCTATCTGTATCTTTCTCATACCAATAGAAACCCTAAAGCTCTTCCTGTACCCCAGTAGCTATGGTTGGCTACCTAGGAGTTGTCAATCTGTTTGAGTCTTGGGGAAAAAGAAAAGGGTGATTTCTTTGTACTCCAGTTCTATAATTTATGGGCAAAGGAGAGGGACAAATGGGGCATCAAACATGGTGTGGGAAGTGCTACCGTGACATATGAGGTACTTGGTTATGCTTCTACTCAAAAGCTCTTCAAACCATATTCCAATAAGGCAACACTCCCCAGCGCTCTCTCCCATAACACCTAGTGTGGTTCTCTCACCCTCCAATACCAATGGTGGGTTCAATATGGTGTCTATCAACATAGCAGTCATACAGCTATCATTTCCCTGCTACTCCATCCTTTCCTTTCCAGTCAATATAATTCTGCGTCTGGATTCTGTCAGTCATCTCCAATAATGATAATGCTGTCCTTTGATTTGAAAGGGAATAAACTTGTAGCAGCTCAACCCAAAGGACATTTAACTAAATCTCTCCAGGAACCACTTCTAGAGAGCCAAAACCTTTAGCTTTCAGGTAACTCTTGATTTTTAGCTATAACAACTTCAGTATAAAGTTGTTATAGCTAAAACAACTCTTACAACTTTTGATGTTTCTCTTGTTTTCCCAAACTCCCCCTTAAATGAAAACCCAATGCTTGACTGATGACTGAGCTCTTGTTTCTGAAAGCCAAGGACTTTGAGAAACACTAAGAATTCTCATGGGTCTCCCCAGAATACTGGAAGAAGCATTGGAAGACCCCAGCTGGCTTGGGCTTAACCGTTGGTGGTTTTTAACATACAACTTCCCCTTAAGCATGATAACACAGGAAGCCTTTCATAGCTTGAGAGAACAGCAAATGTTCCAGTGAAAAATAAGATGGGGAAGGGAGGGGCCTGAGTCCTGAACATGGTCAGGCTTTGCTTTGAGTGTCAGAAGCACTGGATTTGAATCTGAGCCTTGCCAGTGATCAACTGGTGGCCACCACCTCGGTTTCTTCTCTCAAACAGGTGAGTACGCTGTACCCACCTTAAAGGCATGGAGGAAAAAAATATTAAGCACAATGAAAATAAGTCACCTACTAATAGACTTTAGCTCAGCTTCTCTCTTTGTGAAAGGAGGGGACACTGGTGAATAAAGCCTGGATCGCTGGCTATTTTGTTTTGATCTATCCCTAGTACAGAAGGAAGCCAAGTACTGCACCAGCCTGTACTGCACTCTGCTATTGTTCAGAAGTGAAACTCATTCTGTTTTCTTAACTTAGAAAGCAGCCAATTCTTACTCACCCTATCCTGCATACATGCAGCCTCACCCATGACTGTGGACGGGGATGGGAATCGTAAGCATCAATAAATTCACTGAGGGCTTCCCTGGTGGTGCAGTGGTTGAGAGTCGGCCTGCCGATGCAGGGGACATGGGTTCGTGCCCCGGTCCGGGAAGATCCCACATGCCGCGGAGCGGCTGGGCCCGTGAGCCATGGCCACTGAGCCTGCGCGTCCGGAGCCTGTGCTCCGCAACGGGAGAGACCACAACAGTGAGAGGCCCGCATACCGCAAAAAAAGAAAAAAAAAAGTTCACTGAGATTTTCACACCCATGGTGTATCCCTACATCTTGGTGTCTTTATGAATGTTATTTGACTTTATTCACTCTGCTCACTACCCCCAATCTCACCCCACACCCATTTCAGCCCCCTGATCGGGTGGGGAAAGGGTGGTGCAGAAGTTGGTCAGGCACCGAGAGGATGAGTCAAGAACAGAGAGGAAATAAGACTCAACAGCCTTCCTTTCAGCCTGGAGACACTTCCTCTTCCTTGAGGTTTCCTAATTGGCTTCCTCTAATTCCTATTTTCTTACCGCAAAATTAAGTCATCTCTGGTGCTCAGAGGAGCCAAGTTCTCTTGAGACAACTGGGGGAGAGAGCAAATGAATGAGGTGTCTGATCCAGTGTGCAATTCATCCATCGTGGTGAAACAAAGGCAAGTTTCAAAAATCAACCATAGACAACAGACTAAAACATTTTCAATATTAAAAACTCTGCAATGATGTCTTGCAGGTGCAGAGCAAATTTTATTCCAGTTTTCATGGTCCATGTACAAAATAGATGCCTAAGAAATAAATAGTTAATTCATTTAAGACGCGGGGAGGGGCTTAAATGGTATAATTAAAGAGGGTGGCATTGAGAAGTTATCATTATTTCTTGGGGGTCAGTTGAAGCATCAGGCACCAAAGAGTATGTTCCTGAGCCGGCACACACACAAAATACCAAGGAGCAAGAGGGGAATTCACTCAAAGGAGAAGTGGGAATCAGAGGTAAAAATCAGGAAGACATTTTCAAACAACTTCTCCAAAATAATTCAACAAACGTTTATTGAGCCTCTTCTAGGGGTAAGCCAGCTGGGCTGGCTGCTCTGGAGACATATAGATGAACCAGACGGAGAAGAAATGTCAGTGGGGAAGAAAAATGAAACCCAAATGAGAGCAATACTAACACGAGGCCGCACATGATGTGTAAGGTAGGGTCCAACAAAGCGCTGCAGATGGGACATGACCTTGGCCAAAGGGAATGCAAGCCGCCTGCTGAAAGAAATATATCCGAGCTCAACCTGGGAGGAGAAGCACTCTGACAGGTGTGTTCGCTGTTAGGAACAGTGTGAGTGGCACCATGATGCAACATGGACTCGGGGTGGCAAGAACAGAGAAGCAGAGGAAGAGAAAAAGAGCCTGTGTTTAGGGCATGGCAGTGGCTTAGCTTGACTAGGACACAAAAATGTTCTGGAGTACAAATGCAGGGAGGAGGCCTTGAATGCCAAGGAAAGGAACTTCTGCTCTGGTTGGAAGGCAGTGGGGAGACATTTGACGTTTTTGAGTAAGGGAAATGGCATGATTAGAATTATGCTCTCAGAAGATAAACTTGGTGGCAGTATTTACGATGAACTGTAGATGGGGATATCAATCAAGAGGCCATTGCTAATAGAACCAGTGACTGTTTGTGAAGGCCTGAACTGGGGTGGTAGTTACGGAAACGGAAAGGAAAGAAGATGCCAGAGACTTTTTAATAGCTCTCCGCCCATTATAAAAAGTGATACACTATTCATAGCAATTACTATTTGTAATAGGCAAAAACTAGAAGCTATCCAAATGCCCATCAACAGTAGAATGGATAAATTGTGGTATAGTCACACTATAGAACATCACATAATAATGAAAATGAATGATACAATTACATGTGACAACAGAGATGAACCTCCCACAATATTGAATGAAAGAAGCCAGCCACGAAAGAGCACAGCCTGACTGATTCCATTTACATAAAGCACAAAAACAGGCAAAAGGAATCTATACTGTTGGAAGACTGGACAGTGGTTACCTTTGTGGAGGCAAGAAATGATGGAAGTGAGCGCAAGGGGGCATCTGGGTTCTGGTAACAAGCGTGATGAACAGACTGTGATAAAACTACAATCTGACTTTTGTTCTCCCACTCTTCCTTTCATTTTTCCTGCCTCTAGATGAAAACTCGGGTATGCTCCCTTACTTTTCCATTCCTCTTAGATAATATGCAGTGCTACGGTTACTTTAACAAATGCAGTATCGATTCAGAAATTAGAATATCCAGTTCTATACCAATAGATTCCAAACAGCACTGCATCATTTGTATTCTGTCAGCTTAGGTCGGCTTCGCACTAAATCTTCCAGTGGAAAGGGGTGGGGGCATGGTTGACTTGTCCTCCCTAATCACTCCTGGCTCAGCTCCACCCCAGACAAGGTGGAGGATGTGCAGTGGAGGACAGGTAAGGGTGGGTGGCTCAATGCTTTCTAGACCAAGCAGATGTTTATAGCTGGAGTCTCTGGTGAGCCTGACAGATGGTTAAAGCTGATGCTTCTCCGCTTGGCCACTCTTCTAAGGCTCTTCAGTGGTTCTCTGCTGAGCCCATCAGTTTTTATATGTAGGTGGCCACTTGCACTCCTTCTTCAACCCCTGGCCATCCCGAAGTTCCCCTCCAGCCCAAGACAGCCTAAGGCAACTCTCTTCCCACCTATCTGGCCCCCATCTGGACCTCAGGAAACCTGCAGTGCCAGGCAAGTCCAAGGCAGTAGCCCTCTCTGGCTCGTTTCCAATGTCTCTTGTCAGCCCTGCTGTCATCCTGCAGCTTTTGCAGAGTCAGGCCCATCCACAGAGGCTTCAGCTTTCTCTGAAGTCCTGGGTTCCCCAGACTGCAAGAGGAGCTCCAAGTATTCCTACTGAGGCATCTTTCCCGGGGTGCTGGGGTCAGAGGGTACCTAAGGAACCAGGAGCCTGGCCACAGCTCTCTACAAGGAAACATCTTTATCTTTTTCCTTCCTCTGACTCTCTGATATCTTTGGCCTGGTTAAGGGGCCGGGAGTTGTGAGGCAGATTCTCCTTTATTCTTTTTGTAAATTCTGCATATGTACTGTCTGCCCCACACTCACCTGGGAATCTTGGTATCTACCATATTTGTGCCTCAGTGCAAACTGAGGCAGAAAGAGTCCTATTCTAACATCCTATTACACATGTAACAATTCAGACTGTGCAGAAGATGAAGACAACTAAAAATCAACCACAATCCCAGCATGCAGAGATGCCTATTAACATTGTGGAATCAACAAAATATTATTTCTTTCAGATACTTTTCTCCAAATGTCTCTTTCCTTCCTTCCTTCCTATTTAAAACATGGGATCATATTAAACATACCATTTTGTAGATGTTTTGTCCTTTAACCCATGCCAACACACAAAGTATCATTTTAATCACTGTAACGTTTAAAATTATATTTATTTCTTCCCTCCCTTGTTTTGAACATTTTGTTATTTCCAATTTTGTTATTATTATCAATAACATTATTATGAAGAATATCTTCATGTACAAATTTTTTAAAAAGGGATTATTTCCTTTGGAAAGGTAGTTAAGAGTTGAATAATTAGACTACGACAGATATTTTGAAGATGGAATCAACACAATTTGCTAATTGATTAGGTATGTAAGTAGGGGGAAATGAGCAGGAAAAAATAACATAAAGTAAGGCAGGAGGTCACTCTGTTGGGGTGAAGATGAATTGTTTTCACCGTGGTTGAGTAGAAATGCTCAGCTGCAAATGTAGAATTGGAAAGAAAGCAGGGGTAGAGATGGCTCCTTCCTCTGAGAAGTTTGGCTGTTAAATTATCCCTAGGGAAGCACAGTTTTGTCAGGCTAGAAGCCAAAAGGTATTGTAGTTAGATGGGGGAATGAGCCCATGGAAAGAGATTAACTGAGAAAACAACTTCTCAAGTTAGCAAGAAAGGATAGTATGGAGGCAGTGGAAAAAGTAACCTAGAAGAGGGAGAAAAGGGTGAGGAAAGAAAGTTGCTAGGAAGGGCAAACATTGCTGAAGAGCCTCTTAACAGACGGCTTTTAGCTCCTGCTCAAGTCATCTGCTGAGAGTGAGTGGCCGGGTTACGATTCAGGACTTAGAATCATGAGTGTTGTACTATTGTTATTATTCTTAAATAACCTTGGAGCTCATTTGAGACGACTCAAACTACTACTCAAAAATATGGTCTGCAGCCTTGGCGTCACCAGGCACACCAGACCTGAATCAGAATCAGCACTTTAAACAAGATCCCATGTCCATTAGAGTTGGAGAAGTACGCTGGCACCCTCTTCCCCACTGAACAGAAAAGGAAATGGAGGCTGCAGGAGATGAGCTCTTTTCAAGTTAAGATGGCAAAAGTTGGGAGAGCTCCTTCGGGGAATTAACAGGGAATTCACTGAAAGGTGAAACAAAGGACCTTCAAATGGGAGTGAAGTACAGTAGCATAATTTCGTGACTTTTCTAGCAATACTATGGTATAGGAGAGGAGAAAGTGGAATGGTATGGGGCTACCCGAAGTTTGGTTTAGAATTGATAAGATGGGTACCACAGGAGGTGAAATGAATGAAAGAATCTGAAGTATTACTGAAGTCATCCATGAAATGAGTGGTTTGAGGATGGAGTGGGGTGAGCAACAAGGCAAGCAAAGCCAGATGCAGATGGATAAGAGAGGCCTCTAGGTGAGGAAGGAATAGGCCTAAGAACAGATCTAGGAACTGGTGGTCGGGATGAAGGAGTGGAGCAGGTTAAGGAGGTTGTAGGCAAAATGAAGAGCTCCAAAGTCTGATATCCTCAAAGTGGAGCACTTTTAAGTAGTTTAAAAGATCCAGGTTGGCATCTCACAGGGGGCCGAAAATCATCAGAGTTTAAGTGGATAAGAAACAATGAGACCAGAATATGGATGGTGTTGAAATCTCTGGGGATAGTGGCAGTGGGAGTGGGAAGGAAAAAAAATCTACTGACACTCATAAAGCACAAACTGTTCAGTACTGATTTCCTCACAGAAACCTCCCTTGCTGTATCAAAGAACAAAAAGAGCCAGATGATTTACTTAAAAAAATAAAAAGCTCCCTATCTGTGTCAAGCAGCAAAACTTCCTCAGGCTTTCTCTTCAAATACTTGGTCTGACCAGTTTATTTCTTTACGAGTTGGAGATCAGAGGGCCTAACTTGGAAAAGACCCATTTCTTCAAGGATTTGAGAACTCCTGCCAGAACAGGGCTGACTGCCAAAGGACACGATCCTTAATTTGAGCCAGTAGCTATCATCAGGGTGACAGCTTCCTGGAACACAAATTTCCTTCTGAACACAGGAAACCTGGCGGAATAGTTTGTGAGTATACAACCATGCAAATAGTATTTTATGGTATACAGCAATGCCCTAGCTTAACCTGACTGCCTCGTTTTATGAATTTATATTATGATGTTCAGAGTACATGAGGAAGAAGTGATAGAAGACTACGAGAACAAGGAAAAGTTTCATTTTCTGTCAGGTGGGAAAAAACTTTATTACAAAAGAGCTTATAGAGAATGAGTGATCCTTAAAAAAATTATATATACATGTGTGTGTATATATATATGAAAGGCATATATGTGTATAAAAACTTAATAGCATTACACTACTCAGCTTTGGAGCAGAGGATAAAAATATTCAGCTTTGGATTCTAGGACAAGGTCACTGAAAAGGGGAAGAAAACACAAGAATGATTTATTTTTAAAGAATTAGTAATACAGTACATCTTAAGCAATGAGTCTAGGTGAGGGACTTACCTTTCGGACAACCTGCCATAACCACTTCCAAAGGAACCTGTTTCATTCAGCTTTGGATTCTAGGACAAGGTCACTGAAAAGGGGAAGAAAATACAAGAATGATTTATTTTTAAAGAATTAGTAATACAGTACATCTTAAGCAATGAGTCTAGGTGAGGGACTTACCTTTCGGACAACCTGCCATAACCACTTCCAAAGGAACCTGTTGTCTAGGTGAGGGACTTACCTTTCGGACAACCTGCCATAACCACTTCCAAAGGAACCTGTTTCATTCAGCTTTGGATTCTAGGACAAGGTCACTGAAAAGGGGAAGAAAATACAAGAATGATTTATTTTTAAAGAATTAGTAATACAGTACATCTTAAGCAATGAGTCTAGGTGAGGGACTTACCTTTCGGACAACCTGCCATAACCACTTCCAAAGGAACCTGTTCCATGGAGGTGGAGGCCTCATACTATCCTCCCAGGCCAGGATGCCACTCTGCCCCAGAGAGCCAAATGAGGAGCAGAATTGTCAGGGAATTCCGGACACTGACATTCTTTGTTCTGATGCAGTCATAGAAAGCACAAAAAATCTTTTAATAATGGACTTTCATAAACAACAAGGACCTACTGTATAGCACAGGGAACTATATTCAATATCTTGTAATAACCTATAATGGAAAAGAATCTAAAAATGGAAAAGAATCTAAAAGAATCTAAAAGAATATATATATATATCTGAATTACTTTGCTGTACACCTGAATCATTGTAATTCAACTATACTTCAATTTAAAAAATTTTTAATACATAAAAATTAGAAAAAAGAAAAAAAACGGACTTTCAATATTTAGATGGGAACTAAACTTGATACTTAGTAATGTTCTAGCCCAGCTGAGACTGATACGGCAATCTGAACTGTTCTCCTTAAAATGAATTTATGTCTCTACCATATTAGAAATTGTGATTTCTCAAGTATTTGCTTCTTGGGCTGAATTTTAACTAACATCCAAGAGACTAATGAGGTAATCATTTAAATATGGATGAAATTAATTCTACATCAACTTTCTTGTCAGAAGCTACCAGAAACCCTTCACATAACACTGCTATTTATAATAAATTATCATGGTTATTTTAATAACTTAATCCATTTGATAACAGTGTACTTCTGAGAGTACTCTGGTAGCAAAACAATTTTTAGCTGTTATCAGTGACTAGATAATTGTCTTCCTGTTTATTTCAATTCCTGGTTGAAGGCAAGTTGTATATGTATAGTCTCTGGAAGCATCTGTCAGATCAAGTATTGCCAACAGAGACAAAACTTGGGGAGAAAAGTCCTCAGGGAATCTTTTTTTAAAAAATTTATTTATTTTACTTTTATTTATTTTTGGCTGCATTGGGTCTTTTGTTGCTGTGCGCAGTCTTTCTCTAGTTGCGGCGAGCGGGGGCTACTCTTCGTTGCAGTGCACAGGCTTCTCATCGCGGTGGCTTATCTTGTTGCAGAGCACAGGCTCTAGGCGCGTGGGCTTCAGTGGTTGTGGCACACGGGCTCAGTAGTTGTGGCACACGGGCTCAGTAGTTATGGCTCGCAGGCTTAATTGCTCTGTAGCATGTGGGATCTTCCCGGACCAGGGCTCGAAACCGTGTCCTCTGCATTGGCAGGCAGATTCTTAACCACTGCGCCACCAGGGAGGCTGCCCTCAGGGAATCTTGAAACACCATAACAGAAACATGATAAGAGAAAATTAAAGATTATTTCTCAAGATTTACTGCATTTACTTACTCATTGGTGTTCGCGTCTCCCGTTTTTTGTTTTGTTTTTTTTTAGTTTTGTGGCATTTATTTTCATTACATGCACTGAGAGAATATTCTCACCATCTCCCATATTTTCTTTCATCCTGCTGGTTTGAATGGCTTCCTCTAAGTAGGTCTCTGAATGGAACTTCCTTCATTTATATCACATGGACTCAAGCTTGTCATTGGCTGGGATAAGGCAGGGAACGTTTGGTCTCTCTCCTCCACCCCCACACCCCACCTCCTGCCCAGGTGCCTTTTACTCACATCCTTTCTTTTTTTATTTTATTTATTTATTTATTTATTTTTGGCTGCACTGGGTCTTCGTTGCTGCACGCAGGCTCTTCGTTGCAGTGCGCAGGCTTCTCATTGCGGTGGCTTATCTCGTTGCGGAGCACAGGCTCTAGGCGCGCGGGCTTCAGTAGTTGTGGAGCACAGGCTTAGTTGCTCCGTGGCATGTAGGATCTTCCCAGACCAGGGATCGAACCCATGTCCCCTGCACTGGCAGGTGGATTCTTAACCACTGTGCCACCAGGGAAGTCCCTTAGATCCTTTCTTATCCTTGTTCCCCTCCGGCCTCCTGTAGGGCTGTGGGCTTTAGAGATGCCTCATTTCCCACTACCCCTCATTTCCCAGCTAATTCCCACCTAGGGTTGCCAGATGTAGCAAATAAAAATATAGGAGGCCCTGTTAATTGTGAATTTTAGATAGGCAGTGAATATTTTTAGTGTAAGTATATCCCTGCAATACTTGAGACGTGCTTATACAAAAAATTGTCATTTATCTGAAATTCAAATTTATTTGGGAGACCGTATTTTATCTGGCAACCCTACTGTCACCCTGGGGTTATAGGAGGCTCCAGCAGCTGCCTTGTCCCACTTACTAAGAACTCTTAGTTCTGCTTAAGTCCCAGCCCTGAAAGAACCCAAATCTAAATCCCACAATTTCATCAGAGTGGTCTATGTTCCTCCACTCCCAGTCATTCCCCCAAGGATTCCCTTAGATGTTTCTCACTCCAGAAATTCCAAGTTGCTGAAGGATGGGCAAAGTACCTGATCTACACTCCATTTAGCTTTGCCCTCAAGTATCCTGAATAATTTTGATTTTTAGCAAAGATAAGACTCACCATGATAGGCCAGAATTCAGGTGCCTACATAACATACCCTTCCTTTCCATGCCTGCTCTAGAATGAAGCTATCAGGGAAAAAGAAATCTAATGTGAACACATATGCATTTTATAGCACCTTAGGACAGTTTTTTTAAAAAGCAAGAAACCTGCTAAAGGAACAGGGAAGCAGTAATTATATTTAAGTGCAAACTTGAAGAGAAAAATTCATTTAATGTGAAGAACAAGGCACCTGAGGTGAGGCAGTCCCAGCGCAGCCCTGGGAGAATGAGCTAAGGCTTCTCCTTTGTGATTTTCTCTTTACTGGGTCTCAGAACAGCAGGAGGAAAAGGGAGTATAAATTCAGGAGCATGCCAGAGGGAAGCACAAAGCATTTTAGACATACTTTTCAGTGGCAGAGTCAGTGCCCTTTCAAAGCTTTCATTGTTCATGGCTGGCCAACTTTAAAGATACTCTCAATCCAGGGCACAGGATTTTAAAGAATTCCTTCTTCCCACTGTGTCTGGGACCTTGAATTAGACAGGTAGCTTTTGTCTCACTCAGGTGATCAGAATACAAAAGGCAGTCTAAGTGTTGGGTACCAGCTGCCTCCATTCAGAGACTCCCTGAACTCTCCAAAGTCCCGTGTCAGTGCAATTGATTCTGAGCGCCCTAGAATTGCCCTGCTCCCGGACAAGTGACAGATGCACCTCAATTTACCTCAAGCAGAAATTAGGGTTTTGTTTTGGAATGGTATTAAAGAGTTCAAAAATAATGTAGTTTCTCTAACACAATTTTCTACCCTGATGAGCCACCATGGAAACGTGGGCCCTTGAAGAGGTCGTCCTGCCTGTTCCCTTCCTCTCATTCTCCCCACTTTCTCTTATGTGGCTAACAAAGTTTCTAAATCTACATACCGGATGCTCTACCATTCAGTCTGTCTGAGTTTTTATGAACTACTCTAGTCTAAGTTACAGTGTACAGTAGAAGAAAGACTGTTTGACTTGAGAATCAGAAGAGCTGGGTTATGGTTGAAATGTCTCTACTAACTAGCTGTGGGATCCAAGGGAGCCATTGCATCTTCCTGGGTCTATTCCTGCTCTATAAAATGCGACTGTTGGACTTCATGTTCTTCAAGGTTCACTCCTGCTCTGAAGTTCTACGATTCTTTTTGTATCCTCTCCCATCTCTAGAGCAACTTGTGAGGAATTTGCATTAAGCTTTTAGACAAGCTTATTTAACAAATGCTTTCTTTCCTAATTTTCTTAAAACTAGGATAGTTTCTTTAAAAAAAAGTTTAGCTCGCTGAAAGCACAGTGTTCTAAGTACGTAGTTCATGAAATCTAGAAAATAAACAGGTTGGATTTATGAGAGCTTTCCGATTCTCAGCATCTTTCAATGCCCTCAATTTATCAGGCACTTGTCTGGAGAGCCCCTTCCTCTAGGGGGCAGCAGTGTTGAATCCAACAATGGCGTAAGGAGGTAAAACATCCCCTCCTCTGTTTTTCCTGGATTGTCTCTGTGCATAATACACACCTTACTTATATCCATGTACATTGTTTGATATAAATGAAGTCATTGTTTTTTCATGTAAATAACTTTTATGCTAACATACTTTTTTCAGTTACGTTGTTGTAAATGCATCAATTTTAAGTGTTTAGTGTGATGAACTTGACTAATATATACATACACCTATGTCAGCACCACTCAGAACTTTCCATCAGCCCCACAAAATTCTCTTGTGCCCTTTTCCTCAGGCAACTAGTATTCTGATTTTTATCACCATAGACTGGTTTTGTCTGCTCTTGAATATCAAATTGTACAGTACGTATGAGTAAGGAAAGAACTGTTATGAAGTGTTACAGACACGAATATTTTCAGCTAAAATCAAGATACAAGCTGCCTAGCAAGGGAGTAAAACAGAGAGGCAACAACTTACTCACTTTGGTAAAGTAAGTCAAACTTGATAAAATGAAAATAATCTATATACTTTAGAAAGCCCTCATACCAAGTGATGGCATTAATAGTGTTCACAAAATGTTGAATTAGTCTGGAAAAGGCATTATAGGATGAAGAAGAAAGAATCATAATCTAAAGAGAAGGAATTGCCCCCTTTCCTCCAACCCAAATCATTGGGTGATAAGTAGAAGTTGCTAATACACCTCTGACATCTGGGCCAGCTCATCAGAGCGGACCACAAGTGATTCAGTGTGGGAAGGAGATAACATATAGAGGATGAGATGATATCAGAAATGGAGAAAGGGTTTACAAACAACCCAGAACCCAGGGCCAGATGGATTGGTTCTGCTATTGGTGGACCTGGAAGGGTAGCAAAATGGATACCAGAAGACCCTGTTGCCCAAGTAAGTGGAATAGCTGGCTCAATAGGAGAAAGGTAGGTATCACTCTGCACCAAGTTCCCCAACTTTGGATAAGCCTCAAATCCTAACAAATGTTAGGGGAAAAAATGCAACTGGGTATGAAAAGATATTATATCTTATTTAATTAAAAAATCAATTTATTGACCAACTGGACCAAAAAGGACAAACTAGATCAGACAGGACAGAAGCAATGCTCTAAACAAGCATCAACCATCAACTTAAGAGCTCTGATGCCAACCAAGAGGACACCCAAACACAAGTTTAGCATGGGGGTAAGAGTCTTTATGTCTTCCGGTGAAGGCAAAGCCATTTGGTTGGCACTTCGTAGGAATATCTTTCCACCACGTCGTCATCATAAGGTATGTGCCACGAGTCTCCCGTTGTTTGCACCACGGTGTCATAGATGAGAATATGCTGTTGAATTTAAAAGGGAACCACACATTGAGAACAACACTAAAGGAATACCTAGCCATTTCCCTTTCTCTTCTGACAGCTTCTCAGTTTGCTTCAGAGATGTATTCTCTGTCTTACTTAACAATGGATTTTGAAAGAGCAGCTAACTCTGTGAAGATGAATGCCGGGGGTGGGGGGCCGTAGGGGGTGGGATAAATTAGGAGTTGGGATTGACACATACACACTACTATATGTAAAACAGGTAAACAACAAGCACCTACGGTATAGCACAGGGAACTACACTCAATATTTTGTAATAACCTATAATGGAAAAGAATCTGAAAAAGAATATATATATATATATATATACATATATATGTATAACTGAATCACTTTGCTGTACGCTTGAAACTAACAGAACTGTTAGTGACTGACTGTATCTCTGTGGTAATTTGATACCATATTTCCTATAAATGTTGTTTCATATATTTTTTGACCACTGGACCATATTTATCATTGGCTAGTGTATTTTTCTGTCGTAATTCGCCTTTAGATTTTCTCCCTTTGCTTTCACACAGGAGGAATCCTTGTACTTACAGGTATTTAAACTAGAATCAAAAAAGAACTCAATTGAGACTGTGCCACAGCAGTGGATTAAACAGGAAAAAGGAGTTATTTAGCAGAAATAGAAGTTATGATGAACCATAAGAAATAAGGAATTTTGAGCTATTGCAAATAAACAGGATA